CCTTTCTGCAAATTACACATTAATTAACCATTAATAACAGTGGGAGTTGCATGCAGAAATCCACACCCGCTGTGATGAGACTGTGCCCTTGGTGAGCAAGTGCCTTATTAATCACCTGCATTTCAGCACTGGAGCTGCCTCCACAACTGGGCGAGACAAACATCCCTTGAGAGGAAAGCATGCGGGTGCTCACCAGCCCTAATCCTGCCGTAAAGAAAAGCGTTACCTCTTGCTCTATGAATTTTATTTATTTTGGTCCTCTGGGCAGTGCTTGCTGTTGTTAGAAACATGATTGCTTCATACAGTTATGTTAATGTTTGCATTTGACAGAATGTAATTGATACTTCGGCTGCTCCAGCTTCAAAGCCAAATTAGGAAATGAAGTGCTGCACATTAGCTTGTTTAGCTGGTTAAATACTGTAAATAAATACATACAGGGCAATGAAAACTAATGAGTTTTCTTAAAGGCATTTTCTAAATAGCTGGCTTCATAAAAAATATATAAAGAAAATGTTCCCGCTGTGAACTCATATCCTGAAGGATTTGCCGTTTTGCTGCAACAAAAATTGATCCTGGCTGAAATCTGAACTCTGGATTCCACTTGGAGACCAGGATTTTGCAAGTTATGGAGGAATCGTGGTAAGAACTGTTGCAAATTTCATGGTACTTTTACCAACAATAGTTCTGAGAGATGTTGCATTTAGCAAAGCCCTTAATTCAGACCGTGGTTATATGTCAAGCTATTCTTCTCAGCGCTCGCTAGGAAAACGTTATACATGTAAGAAGCATTTGCATAGGAGATTTCTTTGTGCTGCTAAATCTGTGCAGTGCCATAATGCTAAAAGCTGGGGCTTCTCCCTGACAGACTGCAATAGCATGAAAAAAAGTGAGAAAAAAATCTGCTTTTGTATAAAGAGATAATCTGCAGAGATTTGCTTGACAGAATGCAGCACTGATTGAATGAAATGTGGTTTTGAAGTTACCCCTCAAGCCTACCCTCAGTTTATTAAAGCAGAGTTAGAGAAAAGCATTGCACCAGCTTTGTGATCCAGCCAAGTGCAATGAATCTTCATCTTCTACATCAGTATAAAAAATTGCTCTTTTCCCCGTTTCTTTCATAAATAATACATGGGTGCAGAAGTGCCTTTGACTGACTTGAAGGTGTTCTCCTAAAATCAGAGCTTTTTTTTTTTAATCATAAGTAGAACTGAACCTCTACCATTCCTTCTTAATTAACTGCAAATAACCTCAGCAGTATCACCTGCTTGGCAAAGAGATGTTGACCTTAAAGCTGAGCTTGCTGAGCTGGCTGTTTTACCTGGCGCTTTAGGAGGAAGCTGGTTTATAAATTCTGCTGTGCTACTTTGAAAGCAAGTTATTGAACTCATGCCTAAAATGCAGCCAAAGTATCAAGAGCTGATAAAAAATACATATTTGGGATGTAAGATCTATCCTAACTGGGAAGTGGTTTGATGCCAGTTTCGGATGGGGCCCAGGATGTAGTGAAAGTAGTGTTTTCAGCAGCAGACAGAGGGCCGAAGGCTCCCAGCACTATTCAGAGACCAGCAACATCTTGCAACTTCAAGATGAAAATAGTGACCAGGTCTGAGAAATGCATAAGAGATGCTACGCTCCTTATCCAAAAGGGCCATTTAAAAATAGACAAATTATGACTCTCTCAAAAAGAAATGTATGCATTGCATAAATTAAAGTTCTCACACCCACCATCAAAGTTTAATCACTTAATATGCTGGTGCTTTCAACATGCTCTGAAACTTTGTATACAATAATACAAACGATGGGGTAACGAAGCAATAGCAATTTATTCTGCTGTACAAACGGATGTTGCATTATAATCCCTAAAGCAACACAGAGGCTGTTTGCAGATGTTACTACAATTTGGCGTTTATTTTAATTGCTCTGCAGCATAGCTCATGTGAAATAAAGTCACGGGATGGCCTACACATTCACCTACTAAGGGTGACTTAATGCAAGAGGGAAAAAAAAAAAGGTGTTTTGAAAGTTTTCAAGGTTTCACCGAAACACAAACATTCTGCAGTTGTTTTAAATGGATGCACCAGGGCTTCTGTCCAAGCCCGAAAGCATCGTAGGGCAGGGGGTAATTTAATCAGCCAGGCTATGTGGCGCATGTATGTTTACAAGTCTTGGAAGAATAACATCAGTAAAGTAACTTGAGATATTTTGGTGCCTGACATTCACTCAGCAAGTGCTAAGAAAATATGCTTACTGCACAGATCGCTGGTTTCTCAGAGTGGGAGTCAAGGTGGCTAGTTGAAGTCAGTGCACTCCGGTTTATCACCGACCAGGTCCCTATTCCTCCTTTTTCTCTTTCCACTCCCTTTCTAAAAGCAAAATCCTTTCCAAAGTTGCTCCTGCTCAAAGAGCTGCCTGGAAGCAGTTGCTCTGGTGAACAGATTTCAAGCAAAAGGACAAAGTTAAACATGAGGCAAAGTATAAATAAAAATCAAGACTCTCTTCCTCCTCCTCTCTACTTGTGAGCGATGATCTCACCGCTCCGGGTGGATTGCAAGGGTGGCTTGATCTCTTTCAGGAAAGCACATTCTCTAACCTTGATACTGCTGCTATTTATACCCCTCTCTTCTCACCACAAAGAAAAGCAGCTCTAATAATCTTTCTCTCCATTTTTAACGGGAGCACCAGGTGCCCGCAGCTCTGCCTCCCAGCAGTGGGCTCAAGACCCTGCCACTGGCTCCAGCTCCCCATTAAAGCCAATGTCCTCAACTGCTGCCTCTGCTTCTGGCTGCTCACTTTTAGACACCTGAGATCTGATTTTCCACTGGCTTGAGCATCACATTGCCACTCACACAGGTGCAGGGTGACAGCCGTGCAGTGCCACAGCATTTTCTGCTCACAGGGTGCAGATGGAAGTGAATGCATGTGCTGAAAGGCAATAGGGTTTCTAAAGTTCAGAGACAGAGCTGGAACTGCTCTCCCTCTTGTTTATCAGATGAATAGAATACCCCGTTTCACATAGCTCCGGGGGCATCTCAAGCCCTTTCCACCCCGCAAGAGGCAGGAACCATCCCCTGTCCCCATTCATCCCCACGGGGACACAACCCCAGGCAGACCCTGGCAGCTCAGGCATACTGGAGCATGCACAGGGACCACAGATGAGCAGATCCCCCTTTTTTCAGATTAAACCAGGCATACTCAAGCTGTGTGCCCCTCGAGACACCACAAGAAATGGGGACAAACATTATGAAACCAAGTTTATTAAAACTTTCTACAAGTCAGACTTTATCATCCAGGTTTCCACATACATATACATATTTACAAGTTGGACATAGTGTTTTTAGCTTTTCTGGCAGAACTTTCTACCAATATATACAAATGTACTGTTTCTCATAGAAGGGTTAAACTGTATCACAGATACAAATGTCAAGCAATCATGAGAGGTTTAGTGCAACGGAGAGCTGTGGCGCCCTGCTCTTAATGCTCATGATTCTGTCAAGTTAGTATTGCCAACAATAATTCACATTAAATTGCTCTTCGACACCTCTTATTAGGACAAACAAAGTACAACAGAACAAGAAAACAAAACCCCAAAACAGTAAGGTATGTACAAAGTACACAGTCCATGAGGTATACATGGTATTCTCGCAACGCGTGGTGGGGCTGCAGCTCGCCAGGGGTTAACCCTAAAATGACTTTACTCGACCTGTGTCACATCAGGGACATGCGTTACCCACCTCACGGCCATTCCCGAAGCCGTGCCCTCGCCTAAGGCGAATGGACACCTCTTTGCATAAGCCACTGGACACAAATGTGAAACGAAGCAGAAATCTTCGGCAGGACTAAGCTTTACTGACCCCCAACCCAGGAAGCTAATGATTTAGATATATTCATTATCCACGCACATTGGAAAGACTATGAATAATCATGCAAAAAATAAAATAAAATAAAATTTAAGGGGGAATAACCCCTGTAGCTGGGGGCAAACAACATACCTGAATAATCAACTAAGGGCATATGGAGATTTTACTCTTAAGACTAACGTTTTGGGAGGTGGAAGGGGGAAAGAGGAGAAGGGATGTGATGTTTTTAAGAGTTGAGCCTGTAGGAAAACACGACATGTTTATAGGTACTGTACAAGATACCCCTTATTGTTTTCCAAGGGAAGGCGCCCCAGCCGATAGTGTTACGGGTTGGTAAACGGATATGTTTTGGCACTCGGAGCTAACAAGACCTGCTACTTGACAAGCCTGCTGAGGGCATAAAGTTGTATAGGCTACACCATGGTAATGCAAGGCTTAAGTCTATTTAAAACGCTTTCCCAGTCAGCGAATGGAATCGGAGGGGATCCGGCCAGGAGATCCACCCGTTTCTGCTTCAGAAAGAGCCACAGCAGTGGTTTGTCTTACAGGTGGATGTAGGAGCTTCATGCCTCTGAAAGCAAGATGAGCCGGAGGAGCAGCAGGCAGCTGACTGTGGCAGGCGGAGACCTCTCCCCTCACTGAAGTGCTCTTACAGTCAGAAAGCTACTTTGCAACTCGGTGTGGCTGAGCCGCTTCCCCTTCCTACGGCTTGTGTCAGATTTGCTCAGTTAGAGGCGCTCCTCGTGCCCCCCACACACATCGCAGGTGGGCCTCTGCACCCCCATGGGAAAGCAGAAGGGGCTGCCTTTCTGTCTCACCCCTTGGCCAGCTGTAAGACTCTGAAGCCAGGATGCGACCAGTTACACCGGTGGAGGATGAGGGAGGCGGGAGAAAAGCTGAGGGGCTCTCACAAGGCTGCACCGGTCCTCCAGGGCTGGTGGGACCGACCTACCAGCAGAGTGGGAGGATGAAACTGGGTGCGCTCAGGGAGCGGAGATCTACAGGTCGGCGTTTGTTTTAAACAAGGTCACTTCTCTGACCATACTGGCACTTTAAGATGCTGTTGCGCTTGCAAACGTGGAAAAATGAAACCCTATGAAGATGCCGGAGGTGAGAACCGCTGAGGTTTGTGAGATTTCGTGGTTAGCAGAAGAAGGAACTAATATCGTCACTGTCTCCGTGGTATTCTGGAACAATCTGATCCGAAGTTCCCGTTTCCTGGTCTGTATATCCAGGCTCCAAGACCGCCTCGAACCAAGGGTGAAGCAAGATCTCTGGAGCAGTGAGTCTTTCTGAGGGCTCCCGCCGCAGGAGGCTGCGGATGAGGCATCGGGCTTTGGGGGAGATGTGGTCAGGAATACAGAACTGTCCACGCCGGATTTTGGAAAACAGAGTGCTAGGGTCCGAGTCATGGAAGGGATAGCGTCCCACCAGCAGGGTATAGAGCATCACTCCCAAACTCCACACGTCGGCTGATTTTCCAGAGTAAGTCCCGGTGGTGTTTAGGATCTCAGGGCTGACGTACGCCGGGCAGCCGTGCTTGTCTGAGAGCGCATCATCCTCGCCTTTGATGATGTGTGTGTCTTCCAGGCTCTCCAGCCGCAGCTGAGTCCTAGGGAGGGCAGGAGAGGAAGCCGAGGGTTAGAAACAGCAGCAGCCAGGCACAAGGGAGCATGGGGAGCCCCCCACCCCTTCTTGCATTGGCATAACGAAAAGGAAAGGAAATGCTTTCTCATGTGCAGCAGAGAAGCTGCCTGGACTCCTGGACCCATGTAATGGAAGCGCAGCTCCGTGCGCTGAGTAGGCGCACAGCGACGCCTGCTTATTTCATGGACTGGGGACTTTGAAAGCACAGAGGGCTCTCGAGGAACACCAGCGAAGTCACCTTCTATCTGCACAGACTGCACTGTGACTGCAGGGGTTTAACTGGCTACAGCGCTGCTATTCGTGGTTCAGACTTTGAGCAAACAGCATCCAGCTGCGCGACTTTGCACACTGCGACCCCCAGCTCCCTTCCCCGCTTGCAGGGGACCGACGTCTCTCCCTAGTGCTGCGTTTCAGCTCTCCACTTTACATAGTCCTTTGTTCTTCGTGCCTTTCCCGAGGGTACCACGCACCCCCCCCACACACCTCCCAGCTGGAGGTGGCTCTACCCCGACCTCCCGTTCTGGGTGGAACAGGGACGCTCCACACCAGCAAAGCAGCCACCCCTTGCACTGGCAGGGCTCGGCTGCAGCCTGTCCTCAGCGTGACCTCGCCAAATACCCATTGGTTCTGCAAACGGAAAATATGACTCAACGGGAACCGTGGGCCCGGGATTGGCTGCGGGAGCCCTGAAACTGCACCTGTGCCCAGCGCCGGGCCCGCCTGCCATTGCTTAACCCTCTTCTTGCCAAACGCCGCGCACATGACACCCGCCTGTGCAACGCGCGGTTTCCACACTGACCGTGCGCAATGTAACATTGCAGCAAATGCTTCACCTCCTCATGGGCGGGAAAAGCTGCAATAGTTTCCTTCAAAGGAATTGCTTTCTTTGCACGTCAACATACGGTTGTGTCTGTGTAAGAGGGGCAGCGCTGCTTCTTTTTCCTACCGCGTTTATAAACGATACCCTGAATAGCTGTAGCCTGGTTAAAAAAAGGTGAAAATGCGTCTTCTTCTGCTTCAGTAACATCACCTCCAGTTTCATCAGATTAAGCACAACTCCATTACAGCTTTTACTTCTTTTTTTAGCTTTCCACAGGATAAGCAAGGAGCCAGAGTCAGGTTTGCTGATTAAAAGTGTATTTCTGGCTCTGCCACATGCGGTGAGGCACTACCGGAGCAGCAAGCACTCCAGGGAAATACTGAATTACTTCCCCAATCTAAATGTAACAGCCAGGTTGTGGGTCTCCTCTCTACAAACCTAGGCTTTAGGCTAAGTTTTACCCAAGTGCAGGATTCCCAAAGCAATACTGGACGCTGTTGCAGCTTCCCCCTCCTGTGCGTGCCCACATGCATGGGCACAGGGGCACAGACAGCACCACCACCGGTAGTGAGGAGGGATAAAAGCCTCGAAGGACACAGCGCATCTTTGGTGAGCAGCAGACCCTGATGAGCAGGGGATCCCAGGAAGGAGACCCCTCCCGAGCACTGTGGCTCTCCCAGGGAGGGACCAGAGCTGCATCCAGCTCCTCGCACCTCCTGCTCCCCAAGCGGGGACGTTCCCCCTCCCCAGCACAGCGCCCCAGCCTCCCTCCTCTCCTCTCTGCCTTCTATTCATTTCACGCTGAATGAGTGGCACACATGACATCTTCTGGCGCTAATGAGCACCCGAACTATCATCCCTTTGTCTACCAGTGGGTTTCACTGAACTTCTGCTGAATGAGAGGAAGCTCTTGGCGAGCTTCCTCCCTTTCATCAGTTGAGATCTAACTGAGAGTCAGCGCGTACCGGTTAGATCCGTGACCTACTCCACACACGTGATGGGGACCTACTCAGATCGCTTGCAAGTGATGCCCGGCTGACACGGCAGCCGTTTCCACTCCCTTTTGTGTCTCTGGCTGGTGACATTCCTCCCTCCCCACTCACCCCAGGGCTGGCTGGTGACAACCACTTACCTTTCTTCATTGGAGAAGACAAATTTCCTGAGCTTGAGGTCACCGAGTACAATGGCCGACTGGTGGCAGTGAGCTACAGCAGAGACGATCTGCTTGAACAGCCGGGCAGCCTCCTCTTCCCTCAGCCTCTTGCAGCTCCTCACGTAGGAGTGCATGTCCCCAAAGTCCTTTTCAAAGAACACATAGGCCTTGGTGTCCCCGAGGATGACTTCGACGACGCCGGTGATGTTTCTGTGTGACGGCAGCTGAATGTAAGGCCGGATCTTGTCCTGGTAGTGTTTGAGAGGGAACACCTGTAAAGAGGAAATTAAAGCAAA